CTACTATGATGACGTCATGGAAACGATAAGAACCAACCTTTAGGAAGTCGACCAATGAGGTCCACCTGTTACCCCGTTCTACTAGTAAAGCGGCTTAAATAGGTAGGCCTCCAGGTCACTTTCCTGAGGGACCTCCCGAGGGTTGATCGTGTAGATCAAACTCCTCCAAAGGTCACTCCAGGCCACCCGCACTGCAAAACCCGTCTAACCTCATACTATTGATTACTGTACAAACCCCCGACCCCGCCGCAACGGACCTCGGGGATCGACCCCGTAGATCAAAACCCGCACAGACTCGCGAAGGGCGCCAGCTCCGTGGTAACCGCCACACACTCTTCCCTCCTATTGATCTTAGGGTTCTTGGCCATGATCCAGAAGGCCTCTAAGGTCCTGCGGTGGAACGGGCGGTTTGCATAGCACGAGAGAATGGCTACACATTGTCAAAAGTCCCTACCGGAGGCAGAGCAAGGAGGGCCGCACTTGTTGGTCACGAAGAGGAACTGTTGGTCACGAAGAGGAACGAACGAAAGTCCCGTTCTGTGTTCCATTTATATCAGACGAACTAAGTGCGGCCATACGTTCTTGTCTAAGGAAGGCTGGTCCAAGATGTGGTCAGGATTGTAGATATTCCACCTACAAACCTAAAAGGACAACTAATTCGTAATCGTCTCTCTGCAAAGAGGAACAGGTGGAACGGGCAGGCCTCCTTGTATTCGCGTTAAGGAACACCTAGATGGCATGAAAAAGTCCAAAGTTGCTACTCCTCTAGGAGAGCATAGGGTACGGTGTCATGACAACATGTGTTTTGAGGTGACTGTCACGATATTATCACGTGAATCCGATATCGCGGCGCGGAGAACCTTAGAGGCCTTCTGGATCATGGCCAAGAACCCTAAGATCAATAGGAGGGAAGAGTGTGTGGCGGTTACCACGGAGCTGGCGCCCTTCGCGAGTCTGTGCGGGTTTTGATCTACGGGGTCGATCCCCGAGGTCCGTTGCGGCGGGGTCGGGGGTTTGTACAGTAATCAATAGTATGAGGTAGACGGGTTTTGCAGTGCGGGTGGCCTGGAGTGACCTTTGGAGGAGTTTGATCTACACGATCAACCCTCGGGAGGTCCCTCAGGAAAAAGACCTGGAGGCCAAAACGTCAGTCGAATAAAGACCTGTTAACAATCTTGGTGTCGAGCTAAATCTAATCAATCTGCTGACAGTACTGAGGAACATGCCAAGATTTATCGAGAGTCGCACTTGGACACTACAGCAGTGATTTTCGCAAATGACAGGGTTGTGAAGGGGCGTGAATGGGAGCGCCAGAACAGTTCTTCTGCTAATTTTTGCAGACTAGGGATGAGATCATTGTTTGGAAGAGGCGGCTTGGAAGCCCACCACGCCCCTTTACACTCTCTATCGTCGTTTGCAGGGATTGTAACTAGACAATGGATGTGCCTCTGAGGCTTAACTCTGTAGCGCGCTTAGGTTCGTTGGTCCTCTAAGCACTATGCTGCCTCTACTTCCAAAGTGTGCTGATCATTTGCGATAGCGAGAAGCGGCTTCCAATTGATTTCTGATGTGTTCCAGTAACATAACCGCTTAATAGGAGCGGTTTCTGTGGAAAACCCAAGGAATTTAGCAAATGGCTCACCTTCAGTTCGTCCGGCTTTATTTTGATAAGATAAGTTGTGTGATCGGGGCCTGTGGTAGCATTGTGGTTTCCACCATTCCCGTACATAAACTCAAACATTCAAAAATTAGAGATTGATAACGTTTCCATAAAATGACTCCTGAATCTCAACCAATTTTCTTGTCAATTTTGACTTGTGAGGAATTCAGGGCCTGATCACGAATAAGAGCAGCTGCAAATTCGGCTTTCGACGCCGCTATTCCTGAGTTTGCAGATTTGGCATGCATGCTCAGCGTCGTCGCCATTTGGCGCGAGCATGGAGCTGGCGCAAGTAGATTTCACCGCATCATCTTCTTCAAGACTGGTATAATCGTGCAAACTAAGGCCGTTCTGTTTGGAAGTACAATGTTAATTTCTCCGCAGCAGTACAGCACCCCCCGCGGAATTTTCAACACAAATCGTCGAAGGCCAGATAAGGATCCTGATCACTGGAATCAGTTTCGTTTTTTTGCGCCAATGTTCGTTCTGTTGTGGCTGGACCTGGGAGGAAAAATGATCTCCACCCACTGAGCTCAGTCTCAGCTAGGCGTAGACGAAGAGAGTAATTTTCTTCAGTGCCGGCGCAGGAAATGAGTGGCGTATTCGTAAGAAGGATGCCAAATGAACTCGGTATGATGCTTTATATACATTTGGTGGAAAAACTATGGTGGCGCCAAACAAACACCTATCGGCTGCCCATGGGGCCCGTGGGGAAAATGAAAGCTGCATCTTAATGATATCAAGTTGTCTTACTAGGGATGGTCGTCGGCCATTTGTGATGAGATGTAGATCACTAGACGTGGTTTTGGACGCTGATCTTGAATCTGCCTTCAAAATTTGCAAAGCGATTCTCTGAACGGAGTTATGGAGCCGCGTTTACCACGCAACAGGTCATGGGATCGGATCCCTGCTGAGCTTAACTTTTTTGCTTGTTGCGCAAACGTGGCAAAAAGTGATTTTGCCGTCACTACAGAAGCACTGTAGTGCACTGTAGTCTACAAGGAGTCCAAGCGCAGTAATAAATGGAGGCAAACTTTTCTTCAGACAAGCTCAGGTGAGAACTGAAGTAGTAGTGACGGCAAAATCACTTTTTGCCACGTTTGCGCAACAAGCAAAAAAGTTAAGCTCAGCAGGGATCCGATCCCATGACCTGTTGCGTGGTAAACGCGGCTCCATAACTCCGTTCAGAGAATCGCTTTGCAAATTTTGAAGGCAGATTCAAGATCAGCGTCCAAAACCACGTCTAGTGATCTACATCTCATCACAAATGGCCACTTCGACCTGACGACCTTCCCTAGTTAGCTTATGTGGAGCTCATTTCAGTATTTGGTGAAAAAAAGTCCGGGAGCCGTGCTGATCTCCATCGATTCTGGCTGAAAAACCAGGGCCAAAACTGATTATCGGCTGACAGGATACATCAATCTCCCCAGCCTATGCAAATTCAGTTTCGATTTCGGAAGGAGAAGGTATCAGAGCCATGCTTCCCGGCACCAATTCATCAAATGCCTCGGCCACCAACAAACAATGCTGAACATTCATAATCTAAACGTCAAATCCCCGGTATGTCAGTTTGCAACAATTTCATAAAATACTGGACCACCACTTGGCGCCAAAAGACGCCGACACCGAAAATAAGCGTTAGGCAGCGTTCAGACTGCGACGGCGACGCTTCCGCCGCGGGTTCGGGCGACCGATCGCCTTAACGCCAAAGCCAGGGCACATCGAATATTCAGTTACTTCTGCCAAACGAGGTTTTTAGATGACACCTTTATTGGCCTTAACGTTTCGACCTTCTCGTCTTCTTCAGAGGCCTGAAAATGGCTCGAAGCTTTTAATTTGTTACCTACCCGACCAAACGCCCTCCCCACTCTAGCGTTTCCGACCTTGTTTCCCAAACGCTTCCCAAAAACTCGGTAATGAGTCCTAACAACTCACCGAAGGTATCACCGTGCGGAGCTCAGCTCACGCAGTGGGTTAGTTGAACCAGTAAGGACGAATGAGACTCACTTGTGTCTCACTGTGTCGCAAAAGTCAAAATTGTTATAGCGCACGTAGTCCTTACTGTAGCTCGCACTCTGATACAAACGGCAGGAATTCATTTGTAATAGCCAGACACTCATTTCGGTTGTTCATTCTTGGTTTTCTCGCGAAAATCCAGAATGACTCCAGAACTTTCCTGGCTGAAGTTTCCGTCTCGTACGCCAGTATAACACATTTAACATCGAAGTCGTTCCCGTTATGCTGCTCCACCTTATGCTTGCCAAGGGGAGTGGTCATGATATCACGCCTTTTCCCAGCTAGGTGTTCTCCAATGCGTGTAGCCAATACCCTTCCTGTTTCTCCGATATACGTGCTGTTACACGCCCTACATTTCATGCCTTTCCATACAGTGATAAATTACTCCAGCTTTCCCGCAATCTCCTAACTTCCCATATGGGCAGATAACGCAGTCTGGTGTCAAGCACTGTCTGTCGTACAGTCTGTTGCGCACAAGTTGGCGTTTTGATGTTGCTGTTGGGGATATTTACCAAGACAACATCGTCGTGTAATTGTGCCCTAACAATACTGCGACGTATTTCAGTGCTGATGCCATCGGAAATAAAAGGAAGGCATAAGGGTAGCTTTCCCTGGCGTGATACATGTCGTAGGCTAGCACTCGATGTCCTGCGATGGTCTGGTACCGCATAACCATTCTCTCTAGCAATTTTCAAAGCCAGAGCTCTTGACTCTAGTCGTTCTTCTTCGCCTGTACACATCGTGGTTGCTGTTGTGATCATGTTCCTAATGACTGCACGTTTCACTGCAGCAGGATGTGAAGACGTTGCGTGAATCAGGATATTTTTACAGCTAGGTTTGCGGTACCATTTCACGTTAGCAATGCCGTTGGACAGCTTCACCTGCGTATTCAGATATGGTAGCCAACCGTGTTTTGGTACTTCTCGTGTGAGCTTAATGTACTGCGACTGCTCATTGAGTAATCGGAAACACTCATCCATTTCGGATTGTGTTGATGTTACAATGAAGCAGTCGTCGATATACCTGCAGTACATCAAAGGAGAGCGACTCAGTACTGGTTCTTCAATTCTGCTCATGAAGCAGACAGCAAGTACTGGTGCTAGTCGCTGACCCATCGCCAAACCCCTTACTTGAGAGTAGTACTGTCCTGACCATTTGAAGATATTGCAACGCAAGCATTCTTCAACCAGAGTCATGATGTGCACTTTATTAAGTCCAAAGGTGTCAATGGCAGCCACATACCTATCCAACATTTCGGATAAGGCCTGTAGCGCCTGTTTCAAAAAACGGTTGTGACCAACGTGCAGCATTAGGAACGATGATCAACAACAGCAACCACGATGTGTACAGGCGAAGAAGAACGACTAGAGTCAAGAGCTCTGGCTTGAAAATTGCTAGAGAGAATGGTTATGCGGTACCAGACCATCGCAGGACATCGAGTGCTAGCCTACGACATGTATCACGCCAGGGAAAGCTACCCTTATGCCTTCCTTTTATTTCCGATGGCATCAGCACTGAAATACGTCGCAGTATTGTTAGGGCACAATTACACGACGATGTTGTCTTGGTAAATATCCCCAACAGCAACATCAACGCCAACTTGTGCGCAACAGACTGTACGACAGACAGTGCTTGACACCAGACTGCGTTATCTGCCCATATGGGAAGTTAGGAGATTGCGGGAAAGCTGGAGTAATTTATCAGCTTGAATGTAGGGCGTGTAACAGCACGTATATCGGAGAAACAGGAAGGGTATTGGCTACACGCATTGGAGAACACCTAGCTGGGAAAAGGCGTGATATCATGACCACTCCCCTTGGCAAGCATAAGGTGGAGCAGCATAACGGGAACGACTTCGATGTTAAATGTGTT